AAAAAACTGGGTGTTGAAAGATTAACATTCAAGAGATTCTATACATATAGTTTTTAATTATTTGAGTGATATGTTCTATACACATATACAGTATACACATAATTCAGGATATAAATCATAATATATCAATATATCATAAACGTCTAAGGGCTTTTGCAATTAAAGCAATTTATGTTTTTAATTGATTGTCAGGTTTTGAATGATGTAGAAGAAAATCAAAAATAAAAAGAATACTCCTTTGTAGTTGTTGTCATTTAATAGTATCCTTAAACTTTAGGTTCGGTGTCTTATGTGATATTGATTATGAATTTCTTTATTACATTGGTAATTTTTATTGCATTATCCTAAAATATTAACCAATATTAAATGTGCTATATATATGATTTTCTAATATAAAGGCTTTTCTATTTTACATAATATAAAATGCCATTCATATAATTTTATTTATTCACTTCATGTATATAATGAAGAGATGTATTACTGTATAAATTGAATTCCACCTAGTAGAAATGTGGCATGTGGTTTTTCACTTGTCTGCTCGTAAACTCTATAAATATACATGTACATGTTTCACAAAGTATTTCACAAAATATTTCTGTATCACGTGTGCTAATTTAGACTTGGTGTGAAACATAGTCCTGAGGATATGCTGTAAATACTTAAAAATAAAATTTGTATTTGCATTTCATATTGTTCACCATACCTAGGTACAGATTGCAGTGGAAGAAAATCCCTGTAGGGGATTTCAGAGATGTAGTCTTGCATAGGGACAATGCTGCATTTACACAAATTATAATGGAGCACAATGAATTTCAACATCTGAGAGAAATAATTACAATCTAAGGTTGCGCAATAAGCCTTCTGTTATGTTCAGACTCAAGGTCTATTGGCCTCTCTGTATTTGTTCAAATCAACCGCAAACATAGTTCTAGCAGGTGTATGAGGAAGTAGTGAGCTGATTTTTCAGTTGTGGAAATCCTTCAGAAAATATTTAACGGTCCTGTGCATTATAATCAAGTATGTTTAATTCATTTCTTTATTCAACAATGTCACCAATTTAGATTAGAAACATACAGGTCAGAACTTATTCCATTTAAAATTAACATGTACTTACTTTAAAATTTAAAGTTTTAAACATTTCCTAGTAGGTTTTTGTTTTGTATAACTTACTGTAATTTGCATCCTTCCTTGTCATGAGAAAGGCTGAGTCGCTTACAAATTCCTGTTTATTTTTGCCATTGGTCGCAGAACCTCTGGCAACACCTAAACTGGAAGAAATCAACAAATTCCATTTTGTGGGCAAATATAAATCCCATTGTTTCTGTGGGACTTCTGGAGCCAACCACCTGGCCAGTGCAGAGTATTTATGATCCTAGCAAATTATTTTTGGAGGGGTTGCTTAGCAGTGGCTCTGTGGCTAAACATCTGTGCCTGTGGCTAGAAGGTTGCCGGTTTGAATCCCACGCTCAGAAAAAGGAATCCTACTCTGTTGGGCCCCTGAGCAAGTCCCTTAACAACAACTGCTCCAGGGGCGCTGTATAAATGGCTGACCCTGCGCTCTGACCCCAAGCTTCTCTCCCTGTCTGTGTGTCTCATGGAGCGCAAGTTGGGGTATGCAAAAAGACGAATTCCTAATTGAAAAAAATGTATTTCGCCAATAAAGTGATCTTATCGTAGTTGAAGAAAATCGAACAATGGAAAATTCATTAAGTTCAAATTTCAAATTGTTTCTGGCTTTGTGTACTATAGCAAAAAGGAATCTAAAAGTGTGTTAAAATTCACAAACCTGGGGTTTGTCATACTACACAAAATATTGTACAATGTGAATAAATTGAATTTTTCTCTGCTTTATAATTAATAAATAACATTACCAGCAGAATTACCACCTTGTAGCCAGATCTCATCTAAGAAGAGTTTAAGCAAGGCTGGGCTTGGTCTATTCTGGGGTAGGAGATCTCCATAGACAGCCAGGATATTGTTGTATGTGGATTTAGTAATTCAGTAGATGTCATTTTTCCCTTTGGACCAGCATTTTGAAACCAATGTCACAGCACGGTGTACTGTCTGTGCTGTAGTAGTCAGTGCCATCCTTCAAATGAAATTTTTAACTCAGGTCCTGACTATGTGGTCATTAAAAATCCATGAAAGTAGTGGATTTAACTCTGGTATGCTGGCTACCTTCCATTCTGAGCTTCAATAATCTGGCTTACCTACAGTTCCCTTAAGACTTAATTTAATTGGTGAAACAATTTCTAATTTCTCCAACGATCAGCTTTGTACTGATACTGCTGGTACATGATGCCTGTTAGAAATTACCCAAATGGTTGCTACGTTATGCTATTTAAGTTATAGATGGATACTCTTTCATATATAAAGAGCTTTGGGATGAAAATTGCTAAATAAATACAATTAATAATTTAATTACCTTTTCTAGATTCTAGAATTCTCTTTTTAGCTTCAGCATTGTGATGGCTATTATGTGGTCAGCTCTAGAGTGGCTGTTTTCAACATTTAGAACCAAAAGAGTTGTTTAAGGAAATATTGCATGATAATGTTTATAAGTTTTTAGTAACATTTCATTGCAACGGTTGTTGAAGTTCTCCATTTTGCTGCCATTTTGCTGCCTTGCCATGACGATTTTGTCGTCATTTTGTGACAAATATATTTTCAAAACCATTATACAATTTCTAATGATGTCTAATGTTGTGAAATGGTATGATGTCTTTGACCTGTTCATTTGCATATGTATGCATGTTCAGAGTGAATCCTTCGGAATAGTATTTAAAATATTTAAAGAGGTGCACTAATGAATATGGCATGGAGTTCCTAAAACCACATACCTGTAAAACTATTTGGAGAAGTTTGCAACATGTCTGGTTGACTTTAAATTAATCAAATAGTTAATTTGTGTGAAAATAGGATAATATATGAATATAAAGAAATGCCCAAAAACTGTCATAGCCTATGCCTGGTGATCTCAGTTAAAAAATCAGAATGTTCCATGTTTATTTCAAAACCCGAACATATATATTCAATCTCCATAACTATTTATTAGACTAATAGTGTCTAATTAAGAATAGGTTATGTTCACCAGTACATTTGAAAGAAATAAAATTAAAAGGTGCAGGTGCAGTTCTCTTGAAACTGGAGATCAAGGCATGGAGATCTCTTGCAATCTTATTTATACTTACTGTATTGTTCTTGTGTTAAAAGGGGAAGTCAAATAAGGCTAGCGCGTACTTAAAGCACACTTCTGCACTACTTAAATACACTTCTGCAGTACTAAAATTAGTTGAAAGACACAAACAAGTGTCAGCAAAAGACAGATTTAAAAAAAAATGCCTTTCCAGAAGGCTGGCAAAAACAAAGAAACTGGATTCTTTGAGATGACCTTACCACAACACTCCAAGTATGAAAACAGGTAATGTGATAATACTCTAGTTAGCTATATGATAATGATGATTAGAAAACATAGCTATAAAAAGAAATGAAGACCATAGGCAGGAACAATTGTAAGAGGTTTGGAGGAAAATCTACAAAGCAATTTAATCCAAACGGTTACTTTTAATTTGCATATTTTGGAATTAGAGGTTGTCTTTATGCATAACAGTGATTTTAGTGGCAATATATCCGTTTCTGTGCAACAAATGAATACATAGAAATCATTGGATTTTTTTTCATTTGGGGGATTTTATTTGCAGGACTGTGACTTATTTGATAGATTGATTTTAAATGTAGGAAGCTACAGTAGTTTTGGATTTTTGCATAGCACCTGTCCTATAGTAATAAACTAGTGACAGCTTGGAAAGATGCATTAACATTTTGTAAAAGCTCCCTATATGAATTATTGCTCTGAATTGTTTATTTCACTTTTTAGCAATGATTTTCCACTTGGCGTCTGCCTGCCACAGATTTCTTTTATATCCCATCTGGGTTACAGTGCCAGAGTTAGTTTTTCAATGTCCATTAAGCTTCGTAATAAAGAGGAAGTAGTCATTTCTAGTTTCAAATGTTTATTTTGTTATTCATTGCCTCTCTGGCTCTAATGTCACTACGGTCTCCTCAACAATGACCACAAAATAAAAAAGCAGAAGCATCTTATGTCTACTGCAGTGGAACTGGTACTCAGTTTGCTAGATCTTCTTTCTAAAGTGTAACACTTGTATAGTTTGTCATTTGTTATGTTAATACAGTATATTGGTCAAATGAGCTAGAATACTGTATATTAGAAGTTAGAATTGTCTGCATAGTTTTCCATCCATTTTCTAATCGTTTCATCCAATTCATGGTCGCAGGAAGGCCTGAGCTCATCCCAGCAAGAAAGGGGTTAAAGGCAGGGTATACTACAGATGGGGCACCAGTCCATCACAGGGGACACATACTGTACGCAAAGACACAGACTCAGACATGCATGCACTCACACCAGGGCCAATTATCCTACCAGTATGTTTTGGACTGTGGGAATTTTTCTTCCCACAGCCAGCACCCAGAGGAAACCTACAAGAACACAGGGAGAACTTGAAAAAAAACTTCACACAGATAGCACCCCAAGAATTGAACCCAGGGTCCCTGCACTGCAAGGTCGCAATGCTAACCACTGCACCACCATGCCAACCCTGGATAGTTTTCAACATGTCAATTGTTCATGTTTGTAAACAATGAAAATAACAGGGTCAAGAAGGCCTACTGGTATGTTTTTGATATCTACTTATACTAAAATACTGGGATATAATTTGTTTTTTTACAATCTTCTAATGAGTAATCGTCTGTTCATACATAAAAAAAACAAAATAATACATTAAGTATTATAAAGTATGCAGTTGCAATATTTATGTTTAAAATCCAAAAAACATATTACTAAATTCTAAAGCTGCTATACAGTTTTAACCTTTTCCTATTTATTTCTGTTAAATGCATTTGTGAGTGCATTTATATTTTTTTTGCTTTTTACTATAATTTACTTATTAATATTGTTCACCTTGCTGCCAGCAAGTCAGACTTCATAAATCGAAGATGGGAATTTCTTTTTACAAAAATGTTGTAAATGCCACAGTTTCCTGGTGCCGGAAGTTGTCTTAGCATGTGGGGAAAACCAAACACCAATGAGCTTTAAAAGCAAATGCTTTTCATTTGCTGATCAAACAGCGTATAAATGAGGTTATGAAGTAAGATCTGTTACCCATGTTTAAGAAGAACATGGAAATAGTTGTGTTTTTGTTTCCTCAACTAAACTTCTCTGCCCCTAAAGAGGAAGCGTATTTCAAAATGCTCAGTCCAGCTGATTTGCAAGTCGAGAGAAAGAAAGAAACCAAATCAAGGTAAGCTAAAATATGTATTGTTAAAGTCAAAATGTATATGAGGAAACAGTGGTAAAGGTAATAATAAAATTTTAAATTTGATGGTTGTCTTTAAAATCGACACTACCCCTCAGACAGTTTAGTTGCATAGTAGACGTTAGTGTGATCTAACGTATCCTTTACCTGTGGCTGACTCAAGAATGTAATCACAAATGATACTGTATGTTTTATTAAGTTTAATTAGAACATAAGAGTTCCTAAAAAAAGAACAAATTAAATTAAATAGCATAGCAAGCCTCCATTGCAGTGTTAACTTCCCTTTTTTTCAGTGTTGAAAACCTTGTTTTCAGCTAGTTAACTGATATTGATTTGATCAAGACAAACTATGTTTCACTTAATGCATTTACTTCAATTACCTTTTAAGTAATAAATATTTTGTACAAATATGTGCAATGAAGCTTAGCTTGATTGTTGTTTCACAGTACTATGTAACTAAAATGTAATCATTTTTAGTATTTGGTATTTTTATGATGCGTACTGCTTTTCTGCATCTACTAATGACTCTTGATTCAGAGACTTTAATCAGTTTAAAATCATTCATTCATTTTAAATAAAAAGTCACTATTAATGAGCATTTATGTATACCAGTGCTAATGTGTGAAGACATGTTTGCTTTAGAACACTTAGTAAGTTAACAAAAAATGCAACATTATTATACAGAAAGCAAAGTGTTTTTTCTATTTGAAATGGCATAATGAAACCAATGTTGTGTGCTGCTCCAATGAAATATATTAATGCATTAGTACAGTGCTGTACATTGTACAATGCTGGACTGTGAGCATTGTAGAAAAACTACTTGTACAAATTTGCTAAGCCTGAGAAATGTTATAAAAATGTATTAACAGCCATTTGTTAATATAAGCATGAATCTGAATAAGCATGCAATCAAACAAGTTATCATGAAATTCTTTAGTTCTGTTACCATCATGGGTACTGTAGCTTGTATTTAATTCTTGCAAGTCTGAACGTGGAATTTCAAGACCACAAACTTCTGCAAATGTAGCCCAAAGCTGAGACCATACTGCCTCTGCCTTCTGCAATTTCTTGTGATCGCTGAGCAACCTGCAGCTTGTTTATTCATCTTGAAATCGAAAGAGTTTGAAAAGAATCTGGACAGTACTTTAGTTAGAGATGTTATGTTGTCAGTTGGCATTATTGTAGAGATGAGACGGTGAGAGGTGAGACGTGTTCCAGGTTATCCTGAGTTCTGGTATCATCCTTGTTAAATCAACATTTAGTATATAGTATAAATATAGAGCAGAGATTAAATAACTTTTTTTTTTAACTTGGAATTGTTTAGAGTTAAAGAAAAAGAAAAAAAGACCAGGCTAAGCCTCCTACTGACCAAGTCAGGATCACATGAAAATGTCAACCCAGACACCAAGAAGACAACAAAAAGTGCATGGTGAGTACTTTCTCTAAGCAAAAGGGAAATCCCTTCTGCAACTGCCATGAGAGGCAACTCAGCACTTATCATTAATCAGTTAAAGTTGCCATAAAAATATGAGCACTGTAATAAAGCAAAAGTTTGTTACATGCTTGAAGAACCTGCAATGGGTCATGGATTTGATGAGCCCTGAATCTGTATTCATGCCACGTTAATGTGTGCAGTTTAAAAAAAGAGAAAAAAAACTTTCTATAAAGACATTGACCATCTGTGGTTTATAGTAGGACAGGCAACCTTCAAGGTCATGGTTGTCTGGCTTTATGAAACATACCATACAGTATATGATTACCTGATAATGACCCATTCCATTTTTAGGATTTAAATTTTAAAATAGTAATTTTTCCATTTGAGATTTTTTTCACTTTTCTGAATCCCCCCAAAATTTGGATTATAGGGGTTAATTTAAACTGTGATACTCTTTCAGTGGTGGAGACAACTACTAGGCTACTTGGAGGTAGATTCAGTAGGAAGATCCTTCAAATACCAAACAATAGCAACCCATGTGGTTGTCTAGTAAAGTCAGAAATAAGGCATTTCTTTCCCAAGAAGTGTGTCTGTTCTAAAGTTAAAACATAAATGTTACTGTATAATCTTCTGAGTACAGAATTCAACAGCATTATCAACCTGACATCATATATTCTGAAGAGTTTAATACTTTGTTTTTCAATATTTGTTTCCTTAAGGATCATCGTGAACTTTATAAAATGTACTGTGTAAATGCATACAATGTACTGTAATATATTATTGTTATCTATATGTGTCTGTTTTAGTGTCACACCAGAAGAAGCTTTGAAATGGAGTGATTCTTTTGAGGAACTACTAAATCAAAAAGGTTAGACTTCATTATTGGATGACTCTATCTAAAAACCTTTTACTTGTTATTTCAAGAAGCAGATAATAAAAAGATACAGTACAATCAAATAGAGCCTAGAATCTAGAGTGATATCCTATTTTAACATGTAATTTATATATGAAAAAGGCAAATATTTTTCATTTTAAAATATTTATAACTTTTCTTTAATTATAGTAAGAATGATAACATTCAAACTGATTGAATTGAGTAAACTGAGGTTTAGTATTTAAAAATGATTATATCCCAAAAATATCCCAGTCATGCTTAAAGGCCCTGAACCAATATAATAAAATAAAGTTACTAGGAGTCAGAGTTAAGAATAATAGATAATAATATTTTACATATATTATTCTTGCTCATAAGGAAAATATAGTTTGAAATTCCTGTTTATACAACTTGCAAATTGCGTGCTGCAAAGATAAGATTAGGATCCAAGACTATCTAACAGGAATTTCCATGTTACAAAAGTCTGAAAAAAAAAACGCTATAAAAATAGAATTTTTTTCTCCTATGGCTAGTATATCTTGGTTTTGCATCTCTTCATCACTGCCTACTATAAAATTCATGAGATCATCGATTATCACAATAAAGATTTAACTATCAGAAAGTGGGAAGATAAAGTCTCAATTTTATGTTTAAGCTTCTTCATAGTGATCATGGTGTTTTCCTCCCATTTTCCATCTGCGTTTTTGATTTCATGCAAGTTTATCAGATCTTACATACACTGTATGCATGTTACATGTGCTCAAACCTTCATGAATGTACAATTGATTTTTCCACGCATTCCATTATAGATGGAATGGAAACATTCACCAAGTTCTTGAAGACAGAATTCAGTGAGGAGAACATTGAATTCTGGTTGGCCTGTGAGGATTACAAGAAGACTAAGTCAACCAGTAAGCTAGCCTCCAAAGCTAAACAGATATATGCAGTGTACATCGAGTCAGAGGCCCCTAAAGAGGTAAATTCCTTCACAAATGCAGAGTGTAATAAGATCAGTAGCTTATGAAGAGCCTATATATTTTTTTATTAGTGATTTGTATGTTTTCAGAAGGAGAAACAGTACTCACAATACCAACAATAGCTTCAGCTAGTTGTTTTCTACTTACTGATGTATCATAACAAATCACAAGGTTATGGATTATGTTATGCTCTCATGAGAATATCAAGTATTGTTGCTGTTAAACTAAAGATTTAGATTTTAGACTAACACATTCAAGGGGTGATATAAGATTCCATTGTAAAAAAAATAGGTTGGCTGAAATGGTTTTAAGAACTTAATTTTAGCACTGTATGGTAACACATTAAAGCAAATCAATGAATTCAACTTTTAAATGCAATGACTAGGGGTCTGAGATTGTATCAAAATGTTGTACATCCGTGCCCAGTCTCAACTATTAAACTAGTTACCCTAGCTGATGAAAGTTATAATGTAGTTTGAGGAGACAAATTCACAAAAAATACCTAAGATATCATATGTTACAATACTTTCCAGATTAACCTGTCTGCTAGACAGTTTTGAGACATTAATCACTGAGGTTTGCCAATGCAGATTGGGTTAAAAGGAAATGGTTGACTGTTAGGCATTGCTTGTCACCACATATGCATCACAATGAAGCAGTAAAATATCAGGACTGTTTTTTAAATTCTTCAACTGAACTTTTAATCTG